GCGTTGCAAACCACTAGATTTAGTATATAGATTTAAGTAATTATTAATGTTCAAAATCATCATAATGATAACTATCCTCCGGGAAAGCTTATCCATTTCATGTTAACCGCGATCTTATATTTACTCAATGTTCACATTGATGAACAGATTGTGAATAAAATTATTACGATATAAAAAATATATCTCATTAATAAAACAGTAAATAAACTGTTCATTTCAGAAAAAAAGCATATAAATTATCATTGATAATTAAACCAAATATTAAATTCTTCTTATGTTTAAAAAAGAGAAACTAAAAATAATACTAATATGGTATACATTTTATTTTTTTTGTCCGAAAATATGGTATACATTTGTGAAAAAAAGGAAATAAAACTAAAATTAAATATAAACATTATTAAATTCATTTTATTGTCACAATATAACTAAATACAAATAATTTTAGTTTTTTTTTTTAAGATCGTGGTTGACATTAATTGGATAATATTTCTCTGTGGATAGTTTCCATTATGATAATTTTTAATTTGTAGTATATTGATGCTCTGCGATTTCACTATTTCCTTTCACTGTGAATCTGCTGATATCTTTAACATTATCCATCGACTTGGCTGAAAAGGTCCATATGCTGAACCTCATTTATTTCACTGTCCATCTGCGATAAACGATGGCCCTATTGCTGCAAGCACCTAGAGGGCTCACAAAGGGCCTGGCTTGACCAGGATTCGAACCGGCGCCCACGAAATCGTGGGTAGAGCGACTTAACCATTTGGATATTATTCGCCCTTGAATTTATTTAAAGTGAGATTTAGCCTTGTTGAACGCTTTTTTTGAACAAAATACATTTTGTATACATTTCAGTAAATCGACTCTCACGGCAAAGTTTATATACTTATATGAAGAAATTTATTGGAATTTCCTCCTCCCTTTTTATCATAATTCATTCCATACACGTTTGTAATATTATAAAAAACGTTAATAAGAGTATTTCTCTCTAATTTATTAAATGCACCTTGAACACATGCAATCCATTCATCAATTGTGTTTGGCGAAGCTTCATGTTATAGTCATTAAATAGTGGTAGTGATTGTGACTTAAATTGAATAATCCAACCATCAGAAGAATCGTGTTGTAATTTTTCTTTGTTCTTCATATACTGCAATAGCTGTTGCCAGATGTTGCCATGACGTTGTTCATTAGTCAATTGCTTCGATTTGGCATCTCTTCTTTGTAAATTCACGGTATTTGGGTTAAAATTTTCCATGTTGAAATTACAGCGGTTACTATTATATTCTTCTTAAAAAAATAATTTTTAGTTTTCAGATTCCAATTTACCTCAAATAACATAACATATTTGACAGTCGTTCCTGTCAAATACGTTATCAATGTAATCAATACCAATATAATGAGTATTAACAGTTGCTTTAGAAACTCTAAATACTCTTTCAAATGTATACCACATTTTCAGACAGAGGGAGTAATAATTATTATTTCAACTGCTGAAAACAAATATATATTTTTGTAATACAAATAATTATTTGAATTTAACTCAGTTTTATTTATTAATTTATACTGTATAAAGTATAATAAATATAGAGCACAATTTGCGTATTAATAATGCGAAAACGCGAATAAATTTATGTTGTTTTGCGAAAACATTCCGATGTATTATTTTCCATTTCGTTGTGTAACTTTTGAGCCAGATAGAAAGGCTAATTAACGATGAAAACCCAACGCTCCAGCATCAGCTCGTTAATACTAGTAACATTTAATAATTAAATGAATTTTATTTTTATCTTTCATATTTTATGAATTCAACAATTGGTTTATTTTGTTTATAATCAAATCATTATATTTTTTTTCTATATCATCGCAAATTTTAATGAATACAATTCAATTAAGTGAATATAAAATCGAATTGCTATTCCATTTTCTTATATCTTAAAGTAATGTTGCATTAAAGTTATTGTTATAAAAAAATGAAATAGAATGTTTCTTTGGATTTCTTTAAAACATATTAAAAATAAGTTTTCTATAAATTCCAGCAATGTTTTCACTGAAAAAAATATGTGGTACTTTTTGGTAAAATCAAGCAATTTTAAACTTAAATCTATAATAAGTGAATTATAGTGATTTAGATTACATAAACGAATCAATTTTCATATTTCATGGTATTCTGCTATAAACATTTTCTTTTTATTACAACATAAGAATATACCCTATACAGAAGAGACAAGTATACATGATTGTAAGTTTATTACTCACTTTGTGTTTCCAACTGATTACATTAAAGTACCAACAAATATTTAGGTCTGTTTCACGTCTCTTTATAATTTAACTAGTGACATAAATGTAGGAAAACTTTTTTGATCTAACATGAAATAATTTAACACATAAAAATAATTGCAAAAATAGACTTATTTTTTCATTAATTGAATTGTATACCGTTTGATTTTGTATTAAAATTCTCAAAATCAAACTAATCAATAAAATTAAATATTTTTCTACAATTTAAAGATTAATGATTGCCAATGTAAAAATGAAATAACTTGAAATTAAATTCATTGATAAATCACAAATAGCAAAAGAACATAATTTGTTGTTAATATATAAACTTATATGGAAAAAATCATTATATAAGTTTTATATGGAAAAAAAAAATTACATCGCAATTAAGATAATACACAAATAGTAACAAAACATCAATATAAACAATAGCAAATAGAAAATAAATTGTTTGTTAATATACAAACTTATGTGGAAAAAAAATCAAGTTACAATAAATTACATCACAAGTAAGATAATACATAAGATATTAAATAACAAATACTAAAAAAAAGTCAACATAAACAATGCAAATATTTAGATGAATCTATTCAATAACAAATTCATTAATTTTGCAACTAAAACTATGGATTTGTTCATTACTTTGTCAACTGAAACTAATTCCAAAATTTGATTTAAGCTCTTCAATTATATAAATAATATAACTAATCAATAAAATGAAACAGTTTTCTAAAATTTAGCGAAAATATTGATTATTGAAAACGTAAAAAGGAAATAACTTGAAATTAAATTCGTTAATTGTAAAAACATGCAAATATCAAAAGAAAATAAATTGTTGATAATATATGAACTTATGTGGATAAAAACATTATGTAAGTTTCAGTTTACAAAAAATTACATCACAAGTAAGATAATACACAAGGTAATAGTACAAAATATTAACATAAACAATAGTAAGTATTTAGATGAATCTATTCAATAAGAAAATCCATTAATTTGGCAACTGAAACTACTCCTAAAATTTGATTTAAGCACCTTAAATTATATAAATAATAGCTATATCAATAAAATGAATTATTTTTCTAAAATTTAGAGAAAAGATTGTTTATTGGAAATATGAATAGGAAATAAATTGAAATTAATTTCATTGATAGTAAAAAAATCACAAATTTCAAAAGAAAATAAATTGTTGTTAATATATAAACTTATGAGAACAAAATCATTGTAGAAGTTTTAGCTTATAAGAAATTATATCAGAAGTAAGATAATACACAAGGTATTATCAAATAGCAAATAGTAAAAAAATATCAACATAAACAATATCAAATAATGAGATGAATCCATTAATTTGACAACTGAAACTTGAGTAAAACTGAAACCACTCTCATAATTTCCATATTTTTTATGTTTATAATAAATTTTACTTTACTTGATCTAATAATTGTAAATGGGAAGAAAATTTACTTTGTAAATGAAAAATATTACAACATAACAAAATTACCATCAGATATAGTTGCTGTTTGTAAATAGAGAAATAAGGAAATGCGTTTGTTGAATATAAATATATCAGAGCGACGGCGGCAGTAACATTCTTGCACTTACGTGAATATATATACAAGGTGATGTAATCTAGTTTTTCCTATACTCTCCTTCCTAACCTTCGCAGTGATTTAGTCAAGATTGCAACGAGTGATTCGTTATCGAAGAGTAAAGGAAAAATAAAATTTTATTGCCGTCAGAATGCGATTTTACTGTACTTACACATCATTCTCGCTATGTGCGATGCTTCTTTATTTCCTATTTTTTCCCCACTGCACTCAACAAACTTATTTTGTATCGATTTCAAACACACTACTCCAAATGACTTTGTGCAATGTTATTCTATAATACAATAACATTGTTACGTAATACCTCTCATAGTGCGGATACGATCAGTCAATATTACGGTTTGAACATTTCAAAACAAACTCAATTTTAATTGAGCAGCTTTATACTCATAGATTCTAAACAATAAAATAATATAATTAATGAATAAAATGAAATATTTGAAAATAATTTTTAAAATTTATAGAAAGGATTAATTATTACAAATGAATATGCTATATAAATATTATATAATTAAATTTTTCATAGCTTGATAAAACATGTATCAATTACATTAAAAATTGATATATTCTTTATAATATTCAAATAGTAAATATTAATTCAAAGTTTTTATATGTATACAGTAATTTTCTTGTAAAAGTTTAACTTTAAAATAATCTTTTAACTTAATTAACGTACGTTCATATTTTTCTACACAATTCAAAAATAAGTATAAATATACGTTTTGAATACATTTTTTTATTGATTGATATGTTTAAAATGTGAAATTATTTATTTTAATATATTAAAAAAAAATAATTCTAGTCATTTTGCACATTTCTGAAATATTGTTAGAAATAATTGAAATTTATTAAAATTTCTAAAAAGAAAATATTATTTCAATGATAAATGTAACATAATGATTACATTTGTTTTTTTTTATAAGCGTGGTACGAGACTTGAAGTAAAACAAAAAAAAAACAGTGTTGTTGTTTATTTGTAATTAATAGTTCAAGGCTGTTGAGAAACGATAATATAAAAGAGAGGTGAAGACAAGAAAAAAAGAGGAGACGAATCAGATATATGAAATATTCAAGAGAGAGACTGGAAAACTGGTATTGCGGTATACGCGTAGGTGGGAAACGCAGACATAAACGTAAACAGAGCAGAGAGACAACATAACGTAACGCAACGTAACGTCAAAGAGGAAAGAACAATGAGCCGTTTTAATTGAAGACGATTAATCAATTTTATCTAATTGGAAGTTCTCTGCCATTGCGTGAAACTTGATTTAGACCCATCATCTTGTGCCTCGACCACACAAGAAAACAAAACATTTTCGAAACGGAAACTGCACTTAGTTAAATAAGATGAAAGTAAGTGTTCACAATTCTCACTCATTAATTAATCTATTTATAGAAAGATCTGTATATATAAATAACATTATTTAAGAAATTCCAACATTAAACAATTTAATATTCTATACAATATTGTAAAATCGATATTTTTAACTTCTATTTTAAAATTGTCTTAAGAAGAAATGAATTAAAAGTACAGCCGTACTACCTCAGATGTATTTTATATTTGAGAGAATTATATAGCTGTCATATAAAATACTGACAGGTGACAGGCGTTGTATAGATGTCACTTACAATATTGTTAAATACTGACTTACATTTACTTTCTTAACTTCTATTGTCAAATTATCATAATGTTTACTAGTATAAAAGAAGACATGAATTAAAGGTACAACCGCACTACCTCAGATTTATTTCATGGATCTTGTACTTGACAGTATTATATAGCTGTCATACACAATATTGTCAAATACAGACAGATGTCAGGCGTTGTATAGGTGTCACTTACAATATTGTTGAATACTGACTTACATTTACTTTCTTAACTTCTATTGTCAAATTATCATAATGTTTACTAGTATAAAAGAAGACATGAATTAAAGGTACAACCGCACTACCTCAGATTTATTATGTATTTTGTATTTGACAGTATCATATAGCTGTCATATACAATACTGTCAAATACTGACATGTGCCAGACGTTGTATAGGTGTCACTTGCAATATTGCTAAATACTGACTTACATTTACAATTTTAGTCAAATTATTATAATGTTTAGTAGTATAAAAGAAGAAATGAATTAAAGGTACAACCGCACTACCTCAGATGTATTTTATATTTGAGAGAATTATATAGCTGTCATATAATATACTGACAGGCGTTGTATAGATGTCACTTACAATATTGTTAAATACTGACTTACATTTACTTTCTTAACTTCTATTGTCAAATTATCATAATGTTTACTAGTATAAAAGAAGACATGAATTAAAGGTACAACCGCACTACCTCAGATTTATTTCATGGATCTTGTATTAGACAATATCATACAGCTATCAGATACAATACTGTCAAATACTGACAGATGTCAGGTATTATAGAGGTGTCAAATACAAAATACATCTAAGTAGTTCCAGCAGATATACACAACATTTTATAACATTACTTTTCATATTTATGTTATAATTTTGTATTTTTACATTTCTTGAAGTTTCATCTGCAATTTAGTTATCAATTGAATACAGAAATAGATGAGGTAACATAAATAGTATCATAATAAATAACTTAATATATTTATACAACTATACAAATTCAAGAATTTATAAGTAAAAAGAAAATGTAATTTGTTAATATGAATTTAATTGAATTGAATTACACATTTTGTACTTTTTTTTCTTATATAAGAATGAGATCGTTGGAGGGTCACGCTTTGACCTATCGCATGTATTTCAGTTCACATTAACTTTTTAAAGGATCCAATCGATTATTGTACAGTTGAAATGCACCGAATCTAAAAGTATTACGTATAAAATGAAAATATAAAATTTAATATGAACATAAAAATAAAAATTAATTACAATATACTTAAATGTTTGATCAGGTGAGTGTATAAAAATATAAACTAATTGTTTCAGGAGAATTATCACAATAATATTCTACAATTATTCTATAATACATAAAATTATATAAAAAAAAAATAAAAATTTCAAAATTTTTTGTCTTGAACTAAATTACTGATTTCGTACAGTTTTGTAGAGTACAGACAAGTATAGAATAGAAATAATTATACTTTTATATGTAATTGTTGTAATTATGACACAAATGAATTGAATTAAATAATTTATTAAAACGCTTACCGAAACAACGTTAATTAGATAATTATTAAAAAATTTAACATGGAAATTATATTAAAATTATAATTATATTTTGCTGATATGTTATTCATACTTTACTTAGTACTTTGTTTCTTATATAATTTCTTCAATTAAGTTCTCAAAAAGTATAAAAATATGGAAATTCTATCTTTTCAGAAATATTACTAACAAAATGAATAAATTCAAAATATCTCTTTAAATTCGTGCGTTTTTTCATAATTACGAAATATAATAAAATAATGTAAATCGAACAATAATTAAAATTTTGTTCCTATTTTTTTTTAACAATTTTATAAGTAGAAAACTACAATGCACGTACTAAGATATATCATTATGTTAATAAGACAATTGTGAAAAGTAATAAGTACAACTAAACAACTACAGTGCGGCTTCGATCAGTCCGGATTCTGGTTTGAAAATTTCCAAACAAACTAAATTTTAATTAAGCAAAGTAAAAATAAAATAGTATTAAAAATATTCGTTCTTTTATAAAGTCAAGTCTCTATTTTGTGCAGTTTATCGATTAGTCAGGTAATTTTAAATATCTGAAAACAATTAAATTTGTATTTGACTTTGTTGAGCCGAGATGTTTATTGTAGAATTGAAAAAGCGGGGTCCTCCGTCAGATTTGCGTATTCATCGAAATATGTCATTCAAAGTAGATATTTCGAGTGCGGAAAAACGGAGAGAGAACAAATAATAATAAACAAAAAAATGTGAAAATGCATTTTCCATTCGATAAAATTTTCATGAGGAGGCGATGATGAGGAGGATACGTGTACAGGCATTGAAAACGGACAGGAAAATGCGGGAATTACCCTCATTTTAAGTGTGTGCGCGTCGGTGGCATCAATCCGTTTTGTATTGTTTTTTCGGTGTATCTGGATGATGTGATGTGATGCGTAGGTACGAGATGATGTGCGGACTCTGATTCGCTAATAATGATGGTCCGACAGATTCGAGTACCTGTTGACCCCGTCACAACCGAACCATCATCATCATCCACCTCGAAAACACCTCCAAAACCGAGTGGACACCACAATGCAAATCATTCGAGGGGGTGGATGGGTTTCGCTACTAAACCCACCAAACGCGAAAATTAAATAACACACCGACACTCTTTGCAAATGGTTCTTGTACAATTTCAATCAATTTCTATTTACAAAAAAAAATGGGCTGATTTTATAATTTGATTTATTGTTTTCGTTTGTTTGTCTTTGTTTTTTGCAGGGTTAGGACAGGGCAAGAGGAATAGAAAAGAAGATGTCGTTGAACCAAATCAAGGGTATGTCTTCGGTCACCCCCAATTCAGAGGACCGCGAGACTTGGGGCAAGAAGGTCGACTTTCTGCTTTCGGTCATCGGATTTGCGGTCGATTTGGCTAACGTCTGGCGATTTCCATATCTTTGTTACAAAAATGGAGGTGGTAAGTACCGGTTATTTTTTTCAACGCACAAAAGAAAGAAACGTTTAAACGAAAAGAAAAACGGACGAAGAAAAAGGGATTGCAAAAGCATGTTAGCAGAATTGGCCAGTTTAAATATCGACTACTATTCACTCTTTTCTAAGGTCAATTAGGCATTGCGTTTGACAACGTGCCCATAATTCAGTGATCAAATGGATCGCAACGAACGGGCATTAAACGAATTTATCAATAACATCACGAACACAACATTTATTTATTTTATAAATGTAATTTAACAATTACCTTTACTATATGTTACATTTAATATACATTGAATAAATAACGAAACACACATATTTCAATTCTTGAATTTGAATTGAAAATAACAAATTTGTAAATAAATTCACTTCCAATATATTGTCCCATATTGAATTTTTTCGAATCAAGCATTTACCATTACTTGATTCTATATTTTTTAACTCAATATAAGAAAATTTGTCAAAAAAAATTCTACAACAAATAAGAAATTTTTTTATCGAACAAAAAAAATATTTTCATTTAAGTTGAACTTTATTACAATTTACCGTTTATTTATTGTCCAAACTCTCTAAATATTCAGTAAGATATGTATTGATTTTATAGACATTTCTATCCTTGTAATTTGTAAAAAGGACAAATATTATTATTTTGAAACATAATTTTTGATTTCTCATTTATTAGGATTGTTTGTGAACTTTCTTGAATTAATTTTTAATATTAGGATTTAAGTAGAATCTGAGTATAATTACATTTGGTAATTGAGACAGCTCTAGTTAAACGAGCAAAGGAAATAAATAATACTGAATGGTGAAAAAAAAACGATTCGAACATAATTCACGAAATTCCGATTTTGATTCCCATTGAGAATATGCCCGGCTGCAGCAGTCAGAGAGAAAAGAGGATGAGAGGACGATACTGTTCCCTAAGTAAAACATAATTGCGTCTGCTTCATCCTCCTTCCATCTTTCTCCATCCAACGTGAAAAACTTTAAGTGCGACATTCGTCCAGGCCGATAAGAGAATACTCATTCCTCATCTTGATTGAAAGAACTAAGAAAACTTGATTCTAGCTTCTTTCATTCTTTCTCCACCCTATGGATATTGTAATTAAATCACGATGAAAGACAGCGGAAGACAATAAAAGGTGAATATAAATGGAAGAGAAAGAAAGCTAATATCAATTTCGCATGATCCTAATTGAATTTTCACCGTTTTATTAACTTCACTATTCGTACACTTCTTTACTTATCTTTTTTTTAGCGAACATTTTTTTGTATGCACTGCTTTCCCTCATTTGATTTAAACTCGAGCAAGGAGACGATAAATTGATGCAAACAAAGAAAAAGAAAATCTTTAAAATAATTATTTTAAATTTACATCTTTAATAAATAAAATTTGTTTAAACAAATAAGTTGGTCAATACCCAAATTGGTCTAAATTAAGGCCAATAAATAATTTACTAAATATTATGTAATAGTCATTAAATTGGATTAGTTTGAAATAAATATGACTTTATGTAATAGTTATAAATATGTATTCAAGCTAGATATAATGCAGACTAGAATGTTACATCTAGTGTTAAAGTTAGAGAGAATGTTGTTAGGTAGTAAAGGGCAAGTAATCTGGAAGTTGTTTGACTAGTGTATGCTCGCAAATAGATTGAAATGGAGTTAATGAAAATCTGAAAGGTTAAAACGGAAACACAATTAGATGTGAAATATCGATGGAGATAGATGGATGGAGAGTGTGCGTCCCTGGGGGGTGGACAGAGATGAGACGGGGTCGAAGGATGAAGGAGGAGGAGAGTGTAAGAGGAAGTGTTGAGAGCTCAAGTTTATTAGCTTGGAAATATAGCAGGTTGAATAAGGGGGATGAGGGATGGCGTCGGTAGTCGTCGTCGTAGTAGTAGTAGTAGTGGCGGCGGCATCGTATCAATTAGTTTAGGGGATGAGGGTGGTAATATAACGAGTGATCTCTTAAGTGGCAATAGGGTGTGTGTCAATTGAATTTCCATTGCCATTAGTCCGCGCTCTTTACTAACGAAAATTCCCTTTTGCATCGTCGAGGCGCGCGCTTCAGGATGGGTGGACACCATCCTGCATAGATAATAACTCTCTCTCTCTGATTTTACGTACCCTTTTCCGACCCCTCGATTATTATCATTCTTTTTTTTATGATGTAATTCTTCTGCTCGTTCTGCCCTTCTTCGCGGACTGTCCTCATTGATTCTGTTTAATTGCAGGGGCATTCCTGGTTCCGTACTGCATTATGTTGGTGGTCGGAGGGATCCCATTGTTCTACATGGAGCTGGCACTTGGGCAATTCAACAGGAAAGGCGCGATCACTTGCTGGGGACGATTAGTGCCACTTCTGAAAGGTAATTACCGTATAATTTTATTTTCATTTTTCAACATTATTTTATTCTTAAGCACCTCAATGCTTATGTACACGTCAAGTATTTTACTAGCTACTTGCTACTTTGGGCACCTAAATTCAATACTTGACATGAAGTGTAGACAAGTTAAGTATTTTACAATTAATGCGCAAGTATCATAGTAACATATATTTCAAACATTCATTTTCCACGGAATCTGAACTCAATACTTGCCATGTAGTGCGTACATGTCAAGCATTTTACAAGTATAGAATAATGCACAAGTTACATAGTAACATATACACTTTCAGCATGCACTTACTGTGGGCACCTAAACTTGATACATGCTGTACTTAATGCTGTACCCATCAAGTACTTAATAATATATGCTGCATCCACACTATATGTTATATGATACACAACTGTAAACTTATGCAGAAATTTGCATTTTTTTGTACAATGTACAATTTTAAAAGATTTTGTAATGCTATACTTGCCATATAATATGTACACGTCAAGTATTTTACTAGCTACTTGGTACTTTGGGCAGCTAAATTCGATACTTGCCATGCAGTGTAGACAAGTCAAGTATTTTACAAGTAATGCGCAAGTATCATAGTAACATATATTTCAAACATTCATTTTCCACGGAATCTGAACTCAATACTTGCGATGTAGTGCGTACATGTCAAGCATTTTACAAGTATAGAATAATGCACAAGTTGCATAGTAACATATACAATTTTACACTTTCAACATGCACTTACTGTGGGCACCTAAACTTGATACATGCTGTACTTAATGCTGTACCCATCAAGTACTTAATAATATATGCTGAATCCACACTATATGTTATATGATACACAACTGTAAACTTATGCAGAAATTTGCATTTACTATTTTGTACAATGTACAATGTACAATTTTAATTTTTTTTGTAATGCTGTACTTGCCATATAATATGTACACGTCAAGTATTTTACTAGCTACTTGCTACTTTGGGCACCTAAATTCCATACTTGCCATGAAGTGTAGGCAATTCAAGTATTTTACAAGTAATGCGCAAGTATCATAGTAAGATATATTTCAAACATTCATTTTCCACGGAAAATGAACTCAATACTTGCCATGTAGTGCGTACATGTCAAGCATTTTACAAATATAGAATAATGCACAAGTTGCATAGTAACATATACAATTTTACACTTTCAACATGTACTTACTGTGGGCACCTAAACTTGATACATGCTGTACTTAATGCTGTACTCATCAAGTATTTAATAATATATGCTGCATCCACACTATATGTTATATGATACACAACTGTAAACTTATGCAGAAATTTGCGTTTACTATTCTGTACAATGTACAATTTTAAAAGATTTTGTAAATTGACAATATTTGTATCGGTAAACTTTCTCAATATCTCTAAAAAATTATATGTTACCCCATTTGGGGTAATTTACCCCGATTCGCCGACAACTGAATTAATAGAATTTAAAATGTCAGAAACATAAAAGAAGTGAAAAATGATGTAATAAAAATGAATGAAACACAATATAAAATAAATATTTATTTATGATTGAAGTACTTACATTGTATAAATATGATTCGGAGAACTGCAATCAAAAGTAATTTGAAACACAGATTTTTTTCCAATAAATTCATTACACGCGTCAAACTTTGTGTATAATTTGACATTTCCATAGGCGATGAGATTGTGTTAATGTTAAAATAAATAGTTATGTAAACCCCCAGAGAATTGCAGTTGGTAATTAAATAATCCCTAAAAAATATATGCATACAAAAATAACATTGCTTTTTACTCATTTTGTTGTACATTTTATTAACAAAATATATAATTATTACTACTTTTTATAAAGTTCTTGCACAATTAAAAATCGTTTTAACGTTTAATTGTTAGAAAGAAAATGGAATTAATTTTCGTAATTTATTATTTATTTAAAGATTATTATAATATGAATTTAAATTAAGATTAAAGAAAATCTAGTTTATTAATTGTATTAACAATGGCAATATTAGACAGTAGGAAGCAAAGGAATCCATGCTTCAGTTCTGGTTTTATAATAATTAAATAAAGAAATAAAAAAAAATCTATGTGTCGGTAAACGTAAAACTACGCTCGTGCCCGTAACAGTATCGGAGATTGAAGAAGTGAATGATGACTTTTTTTTTGTTGTTTTACTATCTTCGTACAAATTAGGTTCTTGGTTTTACGAAGACAATCGTGGATGCATTTAAGGGACGGCCGTAAATCTCATTTGGCAAATCCCGGCTCCGAATCTCGCACAGCGTTGTATATATACATATATACGTCTTCGCAGTCTGTTGAAGGGATGGCAGAGGAGGGTGTAAACTGGAGTAAATAATGTACGAAGGATTCCGTCCTCTCTCTCAACAGGTGCCTCGCGGGAACTCCGGCATCCCGCGAACGACTAACGTGCATTTCATACGTCCCACTGAATGTGTTAGTTCAATTGTGAAGAATCGCCCTTCTCCACCGTCCCTTCAATTCGCAGCATTGTCCCAGCACCCTCCGAGAAAAGCCCAAGTTCAGCAGCAGCGGCAGCGAGTCAATTATCCACTCCGGAACCGGAAACTGCTCCAGCCCAGAGTCTTTACCACAAAAGACATTTCAACCCCGACTACTTCGTCGCAGCCTTCTACTTCTTCTAAGTCGCAGCCTTCGGGCTTACCGTGCCGATGACACACATAAATACCAGAAGGATGTAGGATGAGGAGAAGATGGAGGAAAGCAATTTTCGCATCAATATTCAGGGAGGGAGTTGGGTGACCAGGGATTAAGCACTTTGAAAAATACAGGAAATGGAGCGTGACAGAAACATATATTTAGGATTAGGATCAATCCTCGTGCCCTTTCTTGCACCCTCTCTCTCTCTATGCAATCCCATCATCTTCAACACTTAACACAACCACTTCGCCGAAGAAGATGGAAAAGAAATGCCCTTGCAGTCGGAAACGGAAATGGTTCAGTGGAAATGATTTTTGCTTCTTTCGTCCTACTTCTTTAGCGGTGGAATTTTTACATCCTCGTCCGGGGTGGCTTTACGACTGAAAGCCTATTTTTTTCTCATTTTTTTATTCTTGAGGAAATTATTATTTGACGGCAAAAATCCCTCGATTTATTAGTGAAACATTTACAAATCTAAAGCCGACTACTCACTATAAGATACAAGTAACTTGACTTTGAATGTCATTTGGATTGCTGTCCTAATCCTGCCACTAACTTGTATATTATTTAGGCAGTATACATAATCGAAGAGAAAGTATTTTTCTATATTTATGTATTATTTCTTGGGTAACGTTTTTACAAATATTCTTAAATTGATTATGTATTTCATTCTAATTAATAGATATTGAATGTCATAAAACAAACTCTTGACGTTTTGTCACTTTTCAATTGTTAGTTGTACAATGTGTAGTCTACATCAACTTTTATTATGATTCTTCCACAATTAATTATTACCATTAAAACCTATCAATAATTGAGTAAATTACAAAGAAATTTACAAAAAATAATTGTCCTAAAAATATAGTTGTTTATGTTGTTTCAGTTATGATACAATTCAAATAAAAAAATAATAACGCTTCTTTTATGACATTTAATTTGTAAAAATAATTTAATAATAATAATTTATTGGCCAAACATCGATACATAAGAAGAAGAGAATAAAAAGTACAATTTATACATAAATAAATTTTAACATACAATAAAAATATATATACTAATAGGCTGGTCAAAGGAATTTAATTTGTATTTTAGGTTACTTTTTAAATTAATTTTATAATTGCTATTGGTTATCTAACACTAAAAATGACCTGACAAATGAGTCTCATTTTAGACAGTGTGTACGCAACTTAATAAATGTATAAAACACAATAAATAAATCAAATATGTTTTTTGTAGGTATTGGATATGCAGTTGTTTTGATAGCCTTCTACGTGGATTTCTACTACAACGTGATCATAGCGTGGGCGCTGAGATTCTTCTTCGCATCGTTCACCGATATGCTTCCCTGGACGACGTGCAACAATCCCTGGAACACGCCACTATGCAAACCGGTAAATACCAAAATATCCATAACCATCCGCATTCCATCGGCGCACCGCAAGAGCACCTTTCATCTGGACCGTGCTTCAAATGCCTCAAATTATGCGGGCGCATTCGCTCATTACTTGAATCCCATACCAATTCTCTGCGTATTTTATTTATACTCTCTACAATCGAAAATGCAAAACGAACACTAATGATTATCCACCATTCAAAGTTTAATTTGAAAAAAATTCAAGTTTTATACAATTTGACTATGAATAGCAGATGGTCATGTATAATGGTTTAAAAATAAATAACTGTTGTTTTTTTTTTTCATTGAAATACAATCATTACAATGACAATAGTTCAGTGATTATATTTACATTTTACATCAGTTAAGAGTAATTTTATACTTTCAATTAACTACATTGAAATGTACTATTTACTAAAGTAATAATAATGATACTTAATAAGTTCTAAATGTAATTTGTATGAAGTTATGTTGTAATTATAACTGTGTGTGCATCTGTAATGTTGTGTTTCTTGTGTGTGCAGTTCGATGCAACAATGAGCAATATGAGCGATGCTATGAATCAGACGGACGTGTCTTTCGCAAGGACGGATCCAAGATTGTCATCAGCGGCGTCTGAATATTTCAAGTAATGCCAACATCCCTTAATTAATCCCATTGTAAAGAGTTAGATAGGCACATTAATGACGGCAATAACGTTTCACTAAATAATATTAATTAAGTCTTCAATTGTCCTTTCCTCCTTCCAAACGTTTCCTTAAAAATGTTAATTTTGTCCTTTCAAATTTATTCGTGAAAAAGTTTAATTTTTACTTATTTCTTTAATCTCAATTTGTTCATGTAGCCGAGCAATCCTGGAACTTCACAAAAGCGAAGGTCTTCACGATTTGGGTACCATCAAATGGGACATAGCGCTTTGCCTCTTCGCCGTCTACATCATCTGCTACTTTTCTCTATGGAAGGGCATCTCTACGTCCGGAAAGGTTGTTTGGTTCACAGCCCTTTTCCCCTACGCCGTCCTTCTAATTCTCTTCGTCAGAGGGATCACGTTGCCGGGGAGCGCGCAGGGCATCAACTACTACCTAAATCCTAATTTCAATGCAATCACATCGGCTGAGGTAAATACAAGAGCGATCCATTTCTTCTCCAACTGTAAACGTCACTTTGACGTATCACCTGTCAACAGGTGACGTTGCTCCGGTTGTCAGGATAATTGCATTTACGCGTCAAAAGAAATGTAATTAAGATCCATTATACTTGGAGACAGCACAAAAATTAGCAAATATTAAAATAAATGCGATTTTCCACATTAACTCCATTAATTATGATTAATTTTAATATTCATTAGATTTTAGAAAATACTCACCAAGTTTAAATAATCACTAAAAACTTATAATTTACTAATCCTATAAAGTTATACTTCTTACAAACAAAAACTATATATATTCTTTTCTTTTGCATGTTTAGGTTTGGGTGGATGCGGCGACTCAAGTATTCTTCTCCTTAGGGCCTGGATTTGGAGTGCTTCTAGCGTACGCATCTTACAACAAATACCATAATAATGTATACAAGTAAGTATTCAATTACATTTTCGTATAAGACAAAGCAATAAAAACGTTTTTTCTTGTATAATTTAGAGACGCAATCTTGACAAGTGTCATCAACTCTGTGACGAGTTTCATAGCCGGATTCGTCATATTCTCTGTACTCGGCTACATGGCTCATGCTTCCGGAAGACCGATCCAAGAGGTCGCCACCGAAGGACCTGGACTCGTCTTCGTCGTTTATCCTGCTGCTATAGCAACAATGCCTGGAAGCATCTTCTGGGCGTTGATATTCTTCATGATGTTGCTCACCTTAGGCTTGGACAGTTCGGTAATTTATAAAAAAATTTACAAATTTATCAAATTTGTTATTACTTATAATATTTTTTTGCTATATTTCAGTTCGGAGGATCTGAAGCTATAATCACTGCTTTGAGCGATGAATTCCCAAAGATTGGAAGGAACAGAGAGATCTTCGTCGCTGGTCTATTCACTTTATATTTCATAGTAGGATTGGCCTCATGCTCTCAAGGTGGATTCTACTTCTTCCATCTTTTGGATAGATACGCAGCTGGTTATTCCATGCTTATTGCTGTGCTGTTCGAAGCTATAGCCGTTTCTTGGATATACGGTAATTTTAATAATTTTAGACCATTAAAAAGCAGGTTATGAAGTACTTGATAAGTAATGTGTAATGTACTAATGTACTAAATTTTAAAATAATGAAATTCTTTTAAGTTAACTTATTTAATAAGGTTAATAAGGTTATTTCATTAAATCATTAAATCTGTCAAGTTAATTTTGGTATCTTATATAACAGTAGTCATGAAAATCTCATAAAATGAACTTATCTGTCAAGTAACGTAATGATTATAAAAGATAGCTTCCATCAAATTGACATCTGTCAAATTAATATATCACATCTTACCAACTTTAATACTATAACATTTTAAAAATTCTCTTTACTTATTTTGTTTGTTAGTAACTAAAACGTAACGTTTGTTAACAGGAACTCAACGATTTTGCGATGATATCAAGGACATGATCGGTTTCTCTCCTGGCATCTACTGGCGCTTCTGCTGGCGTTTTGCCGCTCCAGTTTTCCTCTCGTTCATCATAATCTACGGCCTTTTGGGATACGAACCACTGAGCTACGAGGACTACGTTTATCCAGCTTGGGCGAACATGCTTGGATGGGCAATAGCTGGATCATCGGTCATGATGATACCTCTAGTTGCAATCTACAAACTGCTAACAACACCCGGCTCATTCATGAAGGTATAACATCAAAAACATCATACAATTAATGTATTAATAATTTATTTTTGCAGAGGATCCAAATTCTGACTACACCTTGGAGGGACACTCAACTTAACATACAACAAAACGGCGTTGTCCAATCCGACAGCAACCACGTCCATCTGGAATACCAAGAAGTGGCGACGAATCCGCCACCGGAGGAAGTCTGAGGCAAGAAGAATAGCCAGTTCGATGTATATTATGTTTAAATACGTTAAGACTAAATGTGTATATATAAATATGTACTAGTTGCTAAGGATTTTCAGTTTGTTTAAAAAAAATAATGAAAAACAGTGATTGTGTCACTTCGTCAGCAGCCATACTGATCCGAAGGAAAAAAACACATTAATATTTCTTCGGATCAATCCCAGTACTGAACTGACACAATTACTATATGATAATTTTTGTTGAACCTTTTCACAAAGGGGAAATCTAGGTCGAAACAGCGATTAAATAATGGTAGTTGACTCGTATTAGGTAGCAATATGAATATTACGATCCTCGTAAAACGTCATGCAAAATTGACGACGTGGCATCGTGGCTTTCTAACTATATTTAACTATAATATAATGATAATAAAGTTTAAAGAGAAAAGTTACAACGAGGTGAGAGTGTGAAAACATTTTAAAAAAGCCTAATTTAAAATGTTTTCTCTGTCGGGGAATATCTGAAGCAGCCATTTCGAGCTTCCCTGACGTTTGTACAAATGTCAGTATGACTTTAGCGTTGATGAATTTGTTGGAAGGGTGATTGCAAACATATATTTGTATCTTTCCTTATGGGAATTGTTTCGTTTAGTTTAGATAGATTTAACTAAGGACCACCCAGAGATAATGCACCGTGTGATTTGTTGCTGAGAACGATGGATGCACCAGCCATTGCCTCCATCGGTCCGAAGTAGATGACTTATTGTATTATAGAGTTAATAAACAGTTACGTTTCCATTTAACGAATACTTCTTTTATTTTGATTCAACCTCCTTTGATTCCTTCATCAGTTTAAATAGTTCAATTTTAAACGAAGAACAATTTATGAAACGATTCATTTAAATTCGTTTCCAATCTTTTTATGTAATAATTCTGATTTGTGATGATTTTTTCATCATCAAGTTAGTTGTATTATCACTTTAGTTCGTACAAAAGCACTGAGCCGTCTTATCTATTAGACCAGTGATTCCCAAAGTGGTCTATATTGAATGCCTACATCGTACAACTTACACAATTTTATAAACTTATATAATATTTTTTTTTTACTTCATAGGTACTTTTATAAATAATGTCACAATCAGTGTATGTTGAGGTTTGTACAACTTCAAAATACATTACACAATTTTATAAACATATATAATACTTTTTTTACTTCATAGGTACTTTTATAAATAATGTATATGTCTTTATATTATAAGATAGTATAATGTAAGTAAATAGGTACTATCAGTGTATGTTGAGATCCACTTTTATTCGTCCCCAGGACCCCCATTTTCATTTCATAGGACCCCCAATTTTATAATGTAAGTAAATAGATACTATCAGTGTATGTCGAGATTCCAATNTTGTGTTCNGCCATTTTTATTTGTGTTTGTTTTTGTCCCCAAATTATTTTGTCTTATAGTATAATGTAAGTAAATAGGTACTATCAGTGTATGTTGAGATCCACTATTGTGGACCCCCATTTTCATTTCATGGACCCCCAAATTTTTTTTTCGCTGACGTAGACCCCTTGCAGGTTGTCATAGACCCCTGGGGGTCAATAAATCAGTTTAATGACCTCATTTTCATTTCATGGACCCCCAATTTTTTTTTTCGCTGACGTAGACCCCTTGCAGGTTGTCATAGACCCCTGGGGGTCGATATAGACCACTTTGGGAATCACTGATTTAGATCATATCCTAAATAAACGGAATGTAGTTGTAGTTATGCTTGCAGGTTGTCATAGACCCCTGGGGGTCG